CTGGAAATTAAGATGGGTAAACAATAGCTGTAAGTTAACCAAACAATAAAGGCTGTGGGAAACACAAGACAGCCACTTTCTTCTCTCAGCTACCCGGAAAACCTCATTTCTGGTTTTTATGGGAATTTTTTTTTTCACCCACTGTGGGAAAAACTATTTCTGTCCCCAGTGGGCTCAGAACTCCTCCCTCTAGTCCTTTGAGCATCTGCACCTGGACTTCACTCAGCTGCCACTTTGTATGGGTTATGAATGTGTTCCTGTTATTATATGTATGTTTTCCAGATGGGTTGAAGCCTTCTTTTGCCACAAAGCTGATGCCCTAACAATGGAAAAGGAAATTGTTAAAAAATGTATTTCCCACTTTGGGTATATCTTCCACAGCCTCCAGTGATTGAGGCACCCACTTCACTGGGCAAATTATAAAAGCTTTAACAAAAACCTTGCCAACTTTTTCAAATGATGACTGTCTCTATCACTGCCAATCATCAGGCAAAGTTGAGAGAACTAATGGAAAAACTGAATTTAAGCAGAATAAGAACTAATTACCTGGGACTGAACGAACTAATGTGGATGATTATAATTTTTATGACTTTTATCTACAATACTACTGGTTCTTTAATTTGTTTTTCCAAATGTAAGGAAACCCTCCTTTTTGCTTTTCTCTTAAGCTATCTATGACAGAAATTTGGCAAATTATACATTTGTAAGCAGACTTGAAACAACTACTTTTTCTCCCTACCTGATCCCCTAAAATTCAGAAACTCCCAGTTAATATTCTTTCTTTCATAACAATAAGTTTATTTGCATAAGTTCAATAAGAGCCAATTCTCCTTGTAACAGGACACAGTTGGAAATATTGGTCATATTACCAAGGCTTTGCCTGGAAGTAATGCTTGAGAGAGACATGCATCAGCTCAGATATGACCCAACAGCTTTAAGGAATTAAGATTGACTCTAAGAAGCCAATAAAATCCCATAAAAAACAGCCTTGTACCTTACTTACAGGGTTCCCGACAGCCTATCCAGGTGTCTAAGGAAGGTCACTTCCTGGAAGGTGCAGGAACTTCAGGATACGTTGGGAGCCTCAAGAAGAGAGGAATTCACCCAAATCTATCAGTATTTCAGGTGGAATATTTGGCTTGGCTTCTTAACCTTGAGAGGCTATTAAAAGTTCAATCTGGAGATTTCTTAAGAAGAGTTCCAGCAAAGGAAGTTGAAAAGAGCCAATATGATCAATCACTAGTCTTGCTGTACTTTTGTAAACAGCTAAGACAAGTTTCTTGAAACTAGACTTATTTTGCAAACAAATTAGTCTTTATTGACGACGTTTGATGAAACAAGGGTGATGTCAGAGAAAAAAGTATGTGTCAGTGGAAACTATAATACACAACTGTGAATATTAGATTCTAGTGCTTTTAATATTCCTTGAAGTTTTGTTATCTCAAAGCAGCACTGGATCCTAAATGCTTCTGATTGCCTCAAATGTTTGGCTACAACTCTCCAAGCTAATTTTTCTCCCACTTTTGATCTGGATTCATTGAGAACTAAAAAGAAACTGCCCTTTATCCTGGAAACCCTGCAAACAAAAGCTGAAAAATGCATGTAAACTTAAGAGAGATCGCCACAGTAGCCCATGTTTGAACACCTTCCTGCCTGACATTGAAAAGTCACTCAGTTTACCTGACACCCATGACATCATCAGAGACATTTCAGACTGCAAAAGATGCTTTGACACTGACATCTAGAAACCTTCCTGACTGTCTGCCCCTAGGTTCAGAAACTGCTTTACAATTCACCGCAACCATTAGCCATCGTTTTTCTTTGTTTCTGTAGAAATTCTTCTCATTAAATAGGTGATTTCTTGCACTATAGATGTAATTTTGGAACAAACCTGCATCACTGCATTTTGAGATGAGACACAACTGTCCAAGTGAAGTGACATATTTTTAAGACTAAAAGATTAATTTAATGAAATCTTGGGAGAATGTACTAGCTCAATACTTAATATGTGAAACTTTCAAGGAAGTTTCAGAGGAGGGAACTGTTGGGGCCCAGGGCAGGCCACCACAAAATGTCCCACAATAGAATGTTGATTATTTTGAATTAAAGTTGCTTGAGAAGGAAAAAGGGCATTCTGACCTTGCTGTCTCAGAACCCCCTGAAAGCAGGAATTAAACCTGCCATGTGAAGGTGCTCTCCCTGCATGCTTATCTCAGAGCTAGGGAATTCAGTGCTGAGAAGCTGCATAAACAAAAGTTGTTTATTAACTACATCAAGGCTAATCTCTGCTTAAATTCCTCACTAATTACGTACCTCAAACCTAAGTTTCTTTGTCGTGTCATTCCTCATGAATTTTTTGTTTCTTTGTGTAAGAGATATATACACTGTCTGCTTTGTTCACCCTCTGAGCATCATTTCTCTATGACTTGAATAGGTACATATTAAAGTGGACTTTTCTCCTATAACCCGGTCTTGTGCCAGTTTCAGTATTAGTCCAGTTGTAAGAACACAAGAAAGGTAAAAGGGGATTTTCCCCCGACCTGACAAAGTTGTCACACAGAGGGAGGCCTTTGCAAAGGATGCTGTATTCATTTTTGTTTTATATCCAAGGATTTGAGGACCCACAGGAGATCTTTGAAACATAGGTGTTTATAAACTGCATAAGATTATGTTTATGACGTTGAGTTTATATGAACTTATAAAACATTTTGTAAAAATATTCATCAGGTTGACTAAAGACATATGACATCCCTAATTACAAATGGTGACTATGAAGGGAATCATAAAACTGTTCAGAAGATGGAATTAAATGGCTGTAATGAAAGCCCTGGTATTTGGTTTTCTTCTTGTGGTGTGAGTGCCTGACATAAAGTGTGAGTGCTGAGGCAGCCACTGAACAGAGGCATCCACTTCGCACATGGCTATCAGGAAAAAACACATTGCCAGCCACCCCGCTCGATAAGGAGCCATGTCCTCCCACTACAACGCTGTTTCTTTTAGGGGGCTTGGCTAGATTACGATAACTGGTACTTGGGCCTCTTGCTTTTCTCTTCTTCCATTTTAAATTTACACTCATGTTTTGAATTCACCAATAAAGTGTGGACGAATGAAATCCTAGGCCTCCACCCTCAACCGCAATGAAAGCAGAACCAAAGGTCTACTCTCTCTCTCTCTCTCTCTCTTTGGCTCTCTTTAGCATATTTGCTATAGAATAAAAAAGCTTTAAGAAGAAAATAAGAAGATCCATTTGAAGGGAAGGATGTCCAATGCTTAAACCTGAATTGGGTTTGGAAGATCAAAGCAAAAGAAAAATTTCAAATTGTTTTGTTCAAAGAGATGAAAACCAGGATGTTGACAAGACTACAGAAGAGATATGGAGAGCTATCCAGAAAGAATAGCACATGTGCTGAAGAGGAGTGACAATTCCAGACAGATAAAGCAAAACTGGTGGAGGGAAGATAATCCTTAAATAAGGGAAGACAATTTCCCAAGTTGATGTTCACGGCAACTGCACAACCAAACCATGCCCGGGAGTGAAACAGCACTGAAAAATACATTTCTTCTTATCTAGGTAATAGTCTAAATTCTATGAAAGTTTATGTAATGATGAAGTAAGATTTTGAAAACTCATTGAGAAAACTAAGTTTTTTCAAAGGAAAATCATTGTTTTGATGTTGGGTATCTCGTCTGCGTGAGGGAAAGCTGGAAGATGGCAGAAAAGTGAACTACTGAATGAAAAGGGGTCAGCTGAAGAATCCTACCTCTGGGCAAGGCAGCGTCCAGTGGCCACGCCGAAAGAAAAATTATGCAATGATTCAAAGTACTTAGCACATACATCGTGCCCCTGAGTGCTTTCATTAAACAATAAATTAAACAGAGCAGAGACCTCAAAAGAGAGGAAAATGAAAAGGATGGAAAGTGGTGCTGTGCAAAGAATTTGCAACTTACGTCTATTTAAGGCAAGTGCAGCACAGTAGATGGGGAAGGTGTCATGCTATTTCTAATGAGGTATTACTGAAAATGGAGGGACACATTTAATTGAAATGATCACAGCAGAGTGTCTCTAAAATAACATACGGAGCAAAGTATAGGTGGGGTTATTATTATGGGTGGATTTACACAGACTTTGAAAGACACACATCTGTAATCTACTGTGCATTAAGGAGTGAACTCCCAGCACTTCCAATTCTATTAACCTGCTCGATTTTCTAGAGCTCTGTCAAGTGCGCTTATATTTTTCTTACAGAGAAAACATTCTATATAATCTCCCCAGTAATTATGCCCAGGTCTAAAATAGTGTCTGGAATATCTAAAGTATGCAAGGTATATTTGTTGAATAAATAAATGACTTTCCTTAGAGCACTGCAGTTTAATGGAAATATAATTGAAGCCCTGAAGGTAATTTTAAATTTTTAGCAGAAACATTTTAAGAAGAGGAAAACAGGGGTCCAGCCTCGTGGCTGGATGGTTACTTTTGTGCACTCGGCTTGGGTGGCCAGAGTTTTACTGGTTTGGATCCCGGGTGTGGACATGGTGCCACTCATCAAGCCATGCTGAAGGAGTGTCCCACACAGCACAACCAGAGGCACTCAAAACTAGAATATACAACTTTGTACTGGAGGGTTTGGGGAGAAGAAGAAGAATTTAAAAAAAGAAAATTTGCAACAGACATTAGCTCAGGTGCCACTCTTTGGAAAAACAAATAAATAAAATAAAAAGAGGAAAACCAAGCAGATAAAGTTAGTTCAATTGATATATTCTTAAAATATTTTATTTAACCCAATTGTTATAATGGACACAAGTAATCAACATGAAACTTAGTAACTTGATATTTATGAACTCATTAATTTAAGACTTCAAGTTTGTGTGCATTTTAAAGTTACAGATAATCTCAATTAGACTAGACCCATTTCCAGCATTCAATAGCCACGTGGCATTTTTTCTTTGTACAAATCACATAAGAGATTTCTCTCCTGCTGAATGAAGTTGTCGGTGTCAGATCATCTACTGAATGTTTCTTGAGAAGAGGCAGTTCTCATCTTTGAAATGAAAGAAATAAATTTGAGGGTAATCTTAGTATTTTTCATCAGCACAAAAGGGCAGATGGTTGGGTAGCATGATGAAAGAATCCCGGTAATTCTTTCCAGCCTCAAGTTTTTCTCAGGTCTATAAAACAAATAAAGGGTAACAAAGTTGTTTGACCAATAAAAGAAAACAAAGCAACTTACCAGCAAAAGAATATTGTGAGTGGCTTTGATTTCCGGAGATGGCTGGGAGGAGAGGCTGGGGCTGTGAACATGCTGGGCTCTCTGGCGGTGTTTGTAGAGCAGACTCACCATGTAGATACTGGACCCCATCATGAGGACCACAAAGAGGAGATCTCGAATCACTATGATGCTAAGGAATGTCATTGAATAGTGGAGTTCCATCTGCTTAGATTGACAGTGCGGTTGAGAATACACAGGACCAATAATTGTGACATTTCTTTTGGCGTCTACAACTTTGATGATGTAGATATAGATGAGCATGTTGACGATCCAGAAGAAAAGGAAAGAGGGAAGAATGCACGTGGAGATTTTAGATTTAAGCCTTGCCCATTTAGAAGTACTGGAACTGATAGTGATGGCTTGAAAAGCACTCAGGAGGGAGGTGGTACAGATGGAAAGACCCCGGGTGACCCTGTATGTGTACAAAGTCGCCTTACAACCAACATCGTCCAGAAAATGCCTTACTCCAAAGGACGACACGGCATCTGGTATCAACTTGAACATGATAGTCAAAACGTTGACTAATGTCAGGTGTATGAAAATCAAATCTATGGGCTTTGTCAGCCGAGATTGAGTTAAGAAGGTGTACATATATAACATGAAGAGCAATGAGTTCCCCAGGAACCCAATACAAATTTGAGATATGAAGAAAAACCCCCAAATTGCATCACTTAGAAACATTTTCTTATTGATTTTGTAAATGTTTTAAGCAGGTCAACCAGGCTTCAAGTGAAACAAAATAGGACATATTGTGAAATTATAAATAATGGAGGCCGTGGAAGAATATAAAAATTGACATTTCAGTATGAAGGGAAGGGCATTGAAATATTCAAGTCTTCTGCATTTCAGGCCAAGATGGGTCACTTCCAGAGACTGGATTTCAGTAATTCTTGAGATCCTTAAGACACAGAATTAAGTTATAAAGAAAGTATAATTCAAATTGCTAATTAAAATGGAAAAGATAAAGTATACAATGAGGAATGAAATAGCAAATTAATCCTAAAAAGAACTAAATGGATTTGATTCAAGTAAAGCAGAAATTAATAGATAAGTTCATATGGAAAAAAAAATCAAATGTCAATTCCTTGAAAGGAGTAATAAAATGAACAAACCTCTGTGAGACTATAAAACTCCCCCAAAGGAGGGCACAAGGAATAACTGGATTAAAAATGGTCAGGGGATAGCCATGGAGAAGTTGCAATATTAGAAAATAACATGATACTCTTATTAACTGTGCTAATAAATTTGGAAATTTATAGGATATAAGGGCAAATTTCTAGATGACTTTAAAAATATTAGAATACTAGAAAGTCATAAATGTGCCAGTCTCCTTATGATGAAACTGAACAGTGGGCAAAACTCATTCCATATGAAATCCCAAAGAATACTTCGACAGAGAAGTCTGCCAACGCCTCCAGCAACAAACAATAACTACAAACAACTGCTAAGGGTAGAAAAAGAGAGAGCAGTCCATTAATCATGAGGAGGTGAGCATAAACTTGTTTACTAAACATAACAAAGATGGTATGAAAAGGGCAATGCTAAGAATATTTCATGAACTAAAAAAAGCAGCCTACAAAAAATAATTGCAGATTTGCACCCACAATATGTAAAACAAATCAAAGATTTGACCAAAGAATTATCTCAACCATAGAAGGTAAGTTTAACATTTGAAACTTGATCTGTATGATGACCCACACTAGTGGGCTAAAGGAACAAAAAGATATGACCACTTCAATATATGCATAAGATATATCACATTCGACAACTGTGTATGATGACAATTCTTGTTATATAGCAATAGAAAGGAGGAACCTTACCCTGACAAAACATCTACCGTGTCAACAGTATCATATAAGAGTTACATATTGAAAGCTTGTCATCTGAAATTGTCTATGAGACAGAATATCTGCTATCACCACTTGATCTCATGTTTTTGGATTTCCTGCTTCACGATAAAGCCCTGGTGGTGTAGTGGTTAAGATTCAGCACTCTCACTGCCATGGCCGGACTTAGTCTCCAGGTCAGGAAACCACACCACCTGTCTGTCATACCATGGTGGCTGTGTGTTTCTGTGATGCTGAAAGCTATGCCATTGGTAGATTCAAACACCAGCAGGGCCACTTGCGGTGGACATATTTCAGTGGAGCTTCCAGACCAAGACGGACTAGGAAGAAAGACATGGTCAGCCACTTACATTTGGAGTCGACTCAATGGCACTAACAACAAATAGTAGCCTGAACAAAAAACAGTAAAGAAAAAAGTAAGATTTATAATAATTGGAAAGAAAATGACACTATCTATTATCATTGGCAGATTTTCTAAATTTTAAGAGGGAAATTGACAGAATCATTGGATGTAATTTTGGAATATTGAGTGATTTTCAAGGTTAGTAAAAGCAAAGTTAACTTAAAAATCGCTTGCATTTCTTTATGCCAGTATAGAAACAGTTTAAAAATGCAATGAAAAAATGATATAATTTAAATAGCAGAAAAGTATGTAGAACCTTAGAAATTAATATACAATAAAAATCATAAAATCTCTAAGAGGAAACAGCGTTATAAAGTAGTCTAAAGGTAATTAAAGCATTTTTGAATGAAAACCAATGTATGAAAATTTGAGATAAAGGGTATTATCTGTAAAAGTAAATTATGCTAGAAAAACCAAAGCAAGGATAACAGATAATTAGAAAAGCAGTAATAAAATAAAACTGAGAAGAAAATTATGTCAAATGTATGTATGTCAATTAAGGTATAGAGAACAAGAAGAGTTGTGGAAAAGAAAACATAGATGAGAGGAGATGTTACTCAATTTATGGATTGTATGGAATTTTTAAATGATTGTGAGTAGTAAAGTCAAAAAGCAAAATATGATGAAGAAAATGTGATCCAGTTTTCAAATGAAACAAAACTGACTGAAGACAGTGAAATCGTATTGGAGAGCTGTAAGGTGCTAAAGAATCAAAGAGATGGAAGAACGAAGAAAGTCAAACAAATACATGGAGGAAAAGACAAATAGTGGCAATAATATAAGAAAGAAGACAAAATATACATCTATCAAACAGAAAATTCACAGAAAGTTAAATCTGAAAAAAACTGAAGTCTTAGTAAGGAAGCTAGAATGGAGAATGGGGATCTTGAAAAGGTCCTCATACCTCCCTCTCTTTCTCAAGGCTGAGTGTGGCAGAATCCTTCCTACAGGCAGTCTGCTTCCCCAAGCGAGACATCTTGGAAAGGCTGGATCTGCCCCAGAAAGACTGTATATGAGGGACCAGATGGCAGAACTTCTGCTCCTAACGGATCACCTTGTCACCTGTGGTCTCCATGATCTTGTTTCTTGAAGATAATTTTGATGTGCCCAGAGGGACAATAAATCACTCTCCTTGATGCAAAATGATTCTCCTGGTAATTTATTAGGTTTGTTGATCAGCAGTGCAAATTCGTCATCGGAGGACGTACATTTTCCCAAGTTGAAATAAATGAAAAGTAAACTTTAGGATCCAGGAAAGTGATCAAAGTTAGTTTTCACTCAGCTGATGGAAATTCCCTCAGGACTTGATATAATCTGACCTCAGAGCAGCTCCTCAAAGACCACATTCGCTTTTCCTCCCGGGCCTCTGGTGCCTCCTGCTTTTACAGCCTTCCCCCCTCTCCCAGCTTTAGGGAGTCTAATTGACATATAACGTTGTGTAATTTTAAGGTGTGCCATGTGATGATTTGATTCATGACTATATTACAAAAGGATTACCATAAGAAATTAGTTAACATCTCAATCACCTTACATAATTACCAACATGTTTTCTGGTTAAAACATGGAAGATCTACTCGCTTAGCAACTTTCAAGAATATGGTACATGGGGCTGGCCCCGTGGCCGAGTGGTTAAGGTCGCGCGCTCCGCTGCAGGCGGCCCAGTGTTTCGTTGGTTCGAATCCTGGGCGCGGACATGGCGCTGCTCATCAGACCACGCTGAGGCGGCGTCCCACATGCCACAACTAGAAGAACCCACAACAAAGAATACGCAACTATGTACCAGGGGGGCTTTGGGGAGAAAAAGGAAAAAATAAAATCTTTAAAAAAAAAAAAAAAAAAAAGAATATGGTACAGTATTGTAAACTATAGGAAACATGGTGTCCATTAGACGCCCAGAGCTTTATCTTAGAACTGGAAGTTTACACCCTTTGGCTAAGATCTCTATTTCCCCACCTCCAGTCCCTAACGACCACCATTCTATCCTCTGTTTCTAAGAGTTAGGCTCTTTTAGATTCCACATACAAGAGAGATCATACAGTATTTGTCTTTCTCTGTCTGAGTTATTTCACATTGCCTAATGCCCTCAAGGTCCATTCAAGTGGTCCCAAGCGGCAGGATTTTCTTCTATTTTTTACAGCTGATGAATATCCGCTCATCCTAAGGCCCAGCCATTCTCAATCACCCCATTTCAACCAGGCTTGCATACTACGGCTCAAGCATGCTGAAAGCCAGGCAAAAATCTTTTCAAATGAAAGAAGAGTAAACACAATTAAACATTCTGTTATTTAAGAGAACGGTTGAGCGTGGTAACATTTAGTGGTTTCCTCGCAATTTGCATTTGGTGTCTATGTGAACTAGACACCCTTCCAGCCACCGAGGATTCCCGCAACGGGGAAGGAGACATCTGCGCTCCTTCTCCCTGTATTGGACACCACAGAGAGTCAAGAAATCACACAAATACACCCAAAGATTCTTATATCTGAGTGCTAGGACATTTAAAACAATGGAGGCAGGAACAGGTGAGGGTGCCACGTGGAGGCAACACTTGGGAGAGTTGAGAACCCCTAACCCTGGAGCGTGACTGGAGCCTCTATGCCCAACCCCAATACTTTGGTGTGACCTAAGCAAGAGGGTTGTTGGCCTCGGCATGGAAGACACATCCTGAAGCGGATTTCCAATCTCTGAACACTATTGTGAGGGAGGTCAGGAGGTTCATCGTGAACATTCAGAGGAAGAAGGATGACCAGGAGCTGAGGACCCTGAGGGGCAGAGTCAGCTTCATCAACACTGTGACAATATTGTCCCATACTAACAAAATACATCAGCAGACAGGGACAAAACTCATTTGATCTTGGCAAGATTTCACACAATTTGGATTTACACATTTTTTCCAACTATTCCCACTATTCTGGTGGGAATTCTATATTTCCAACTATTCCCACCATTCTGGTCATTCAGTTTGGTTTTATATTTTCCCACTACATACAAAGCTTCAAGGAAGATCTTTGCGTGCTATTTCCCTGCAAGTAGGTTCTTTTATTTTATAGGAGAGGTTTCTAAAATTGGCTTATTGAGTGAAGTAACAATTTTACAATTTAATCTATGTTTTCATATTATCTTAAAAGTTTAAAGCAATTTATGTCTCTTTCACTAATTTTATCACATAGATCAAGCCTTATAGATACAGTTCCTTGCATAATATTTCTCAAGACAATGATTTGATACATTTGAAGACATCAATTTCTGGGTCATTGTAGGTGTTGTGACCCAAGGCAGGGAACCACAAAATATACCACAATATCATAGTGATTATTTGATTTAAAGGATTTAAAGTTACTTGAGAAGCAAAAGGGGCATTCTGATCTTCCTGTCTCTGTTCCCCATGAAATCAGAAACAAATCTGCTACACAAAATTTGCTCACCCTGCATCC